AGGCATTCTAATCTCGTGGAATTTTATCTGCGATGTAACGACCTGTCGTTTGTCAGTGTGGCTCTCAGTGCGCGGCCAAATCCCTTTTTCATCTAAATTCCTTCGTAACCGATAAATTTTCAACATTCATGCTGCTTGTTCAAAGACCGGTAGTAATTTCTCTTTCACCGTCGTCGTTCAACCCCCGCAAAGTGGTTTGACAACTGTCTTATCGCGTGGAAAAAACGCACTGTCGTCACAGAGATAATAAGAAACAAATAAAAACATAAATTTGAGTTGATCAACCCTCGACACTTTATTAACTAGTAAAAAAATCTTTCTTTTATTTTTTAATCAACGACACAAATCAAACTGACGTTTAATAAAATTTATTCAATGTTCACAGATAAATAATACCAGGAGAAAAATCTATAAAGATGATTCCACAAGAAAAAAATCTTGAAAATGGCCAAAGTGACTTCAACCAAATAAAAATCAATTCGAGAACGAATGAGAGGATGGAATAAAAACGGTGAATGACAAACAGAGAATAGACCGATTCGTGGTTTCGTTTTTCGCGAGACGAAGCCTAATAAAAACGTTAGCAACCTACCGTGAGGTGTTTCAAGTTTCAAGCCGGCTGGTGGCGCCAGGCTACGCTACATTCTGTCCAGGGGTAGCGCAAAGCTCGGTCTATACGCCGATCTCGATGTGGAGGGGAGGCTTGTGCCGGGATATCGCACACAGACACTGTAAAATCAAATTCTACACCGACTCGCATTTGTAGGGATGGCGCAGCTCGAACTGGCCACCGAGCGGAAGGAGAAAAGGACTATAGAAACACAATGGAAGAGCGAGCGAGATAAGTGGACGAGGATGAACCGATGGAGAGGGGTAGGTTGACCCTGCCGGGTCAAGAGAGAGACAGTCATATCACAGGAAAAAGGACAGCTACAAAGGTGTAATTCGATTCCGTTCTCAGATAACACAGCGAGCTGCATAGAGTTAGGAAAGGAAAAGGATGCAATGAGCGAAGCAGGTTGATTGCGGGAGAAAGATGCAAGAAAAGAGGGGTTGGCCGACCCTGAGCAAGTGGACGAATACCAATCGCTAGGTGAGAGAAAGAGATGAAACAAATTGAATAGGATGACCAAGGAGAGAGAAGAATATATACAGTCCAACTTTTTAGCGACAAAGATCATACAAAAGAGATAAAGAAGGAAGAAATGTCACTTCAACGACGAAGACAGTATAAAGAGAGACAAAAAGAAAAGAAGTTCCAGCGACGAAGGTTGCATAAAGATAGATAAAGAGAGAACGAAAGCTTCACCGATGAAACTGAGACTATACATGAGAGACAAAGAGGAAATAAAAAATAGATAGAGAAAGAGCGAATACTACTTGGAGGAAAGAGAGGGAGAGCGAGAACGAGAGAGAAGGGTTGATCGACCCTGCGCGTTATCAGAAACCGCCCCTCCCTAACTCCACTATACCACCCCGTCTTTATATATCTCATATGTATGTGTAACCGTAGAATGTATATGCATCGACGTGCGCAGTGGTGAAGACCAATACACAAATAACGAAGCCAGCGTCCCTAGGCGCAGCCGGGCGCAGAGCGACGCCGTATGGCGTCGACGTCGCGAGCTCGACCCCAACTTTTCTCTCTGTTTCTCTCTGTTTCTTTGTCTCTCTCTCTCTCTCTCTCTCTCTCTGGTTAACTCTTCTTTCGGCCAACATCACACCGGAAGATCACAGTGTACACTTCTTTGCGATCCTCGCGCTCTGTATTTCTCTAAGGAACGACCGACGAAACTGGACGAAGAGAGAAGGTGCAAGAGAGAGAAATAAGGATAAGGGGAGAGGGAAATGGAGAAGTGTGCGCGCGAGAAAGAGACAGAGGGAGGGAAAGGGAGCAAGCTCAGGAGCAGTAAGGGAGAGAACTTTCGTTATCGCGCCGCGAGTGACGCGCTGCCCTCGGAGCGTCGCGACGCCGCCAGACGCCCGACAGTCGTCAGTCAGACGCGCCACGGTTGTCTCGTACACTGACCGGTTTTCGTAACCGCCGCTGCACTTCGCGCTCGTCCTTCGAAGGATTCGCGTATTCTTCCTCCACGCCTCTCTCTCCTCTTCCTTCCTCTGTTTTCCCATGTCGCAACCAGAAGACCACTCGGTAAAACTTTTCAACCATAGACACCGACCGGACATCGTACGTACGTACGTTCCTTCTTTTCTGCATTCTTCCGAGCCACGACTCGCTTTTCTCCTTTCTCCCCGGTGTCCCGTCTCTGTTAAGAGTCGTGGCTCGTGGACACGAGTCGCGCACCGTGAACGTCACTCGTCGCACGTATACCGAGCCGAGCTGTCATTCTCGAGAAACCGACTGCTTTCAGTGAATGACACCCGCCGTATTCGACTGAATTTTCAACGTGCTGGACTATGCTAAATTTTTCAACTCGATGGATATTCTGAACGGACTTTTTAGAAGCTATACATCGATAGAGAGAATGGATTAGAAGCTGTTTGATGGTGGAAAAGAGGTTAGTATGAAAATTTTAATTGTTTATAATTTTTTTGTTTTTAGTTGATTTCATATTAATAACAATCTTGTTTAGGATTGTGGATATGGCTCTTGAGGATATCATTGCGAGAAATTTTAAAAGACCATCGAATACCCTAATAATAGGCAACCGGATTAACATAATGGTAGACCGGGCGAACAGGTATCTCTGAATTTTCATTCTGTTCCTATTGTACTTCATTTATTTCACTTTTATCAATTATATATTTTTCAATTTGATTCATTGTTTTTCGAAACATCTGACATTGTATCTTTTTTCAGGTTTAAATTATATATGCAAATTGTATACGATCTTCAAGCGATAAATGTCATCGTCTTACCTTCGTTTCCAGTGGTTTCTTCTGCATGGTGTTGTGGAATAATCGAGGTCATCATGCATGAATGACGTCTTCGAATGAATTATCCAATTCTTGGCAAGTGTTTTCGGATAGTGATAATTGGGGCCATATCTCGACGAGGAATGTGAAACCCCCTGTACGTATACTGAATGTATCCTGAGTGTATTTCTGTCCGGTATACCTTCAGTATACGTAACAGGAGGCTACACCGAACTACGCTGGATGTCATCATGGATCTCGTTGATATCCACCAGTAATCGTAAATCCATTTTAAATGGATTACGATGCGATAGCTATTTTTATTACCAATATAGTTTAGAGCACTTGTGTACATCATCGCCTTGCATAAATTGGAACTGTAATTTATTATATTTTGTACATATTTATATTCGACGACTGAATTACAATTCGATTGTACATCTTGTTAAAACTAATGGAACTTGTTAGGTTATGTGTTTACTTGCTTGCGAGAGAAGGAAGTGAGATTAAAATAAATGAACAATCGATGTTGTAAATTATGATTTGTGTACTTGAGAAAGAAATAATTGTTAGGTTATGTAAGTTGCGATGCAGAAGAAGTGAGGTTAAGGTAGTTGATTTTATGGATGATTGTAGATTGTTTTGTATTGTGTTGATTATTGAAATATTTTTAAAATAAGAAGATAAGTTAAAAAATAGATAGGTTTTAAAATTTTTTTGATGAAATTAGTATTTAAAGTTTGTAGATTGAATTTGAATTAATAAATGATTATACAGAATAATTGTCAATATGATGCATAGCAATTGCCTGTAAGAATTATGTGAAAAAATCCTATCGATCTTTTATTTATGTTGGCATTTCATAAATAGCATTGAACTTAATATTGTTTTACGAATTTCTAATTGTTAGTAAAATGAAAATCGTTTGGAAATAGAAAAGTTTTATGATATTTTGAAAAGTAAGATTATCAAATAGATTATATAAAATGATCCTGAAATTTTTATTAAAGAATTTAGAAATACAATTCGAAAATTAAAATTAACAATGAATTCTTATGAAATATCGGAGTAATTATAATTTCAATTGCGAGTGTAAATTATTAATATTAAGAATATAAAATTATAAATTTTATATTATAGTGTTTACATGCTGATATAAATAATATCAAGCAATATTTTTTTGATTTTATTTCAATATTTCTACAATTTAGAGATAATTAACGATTTTTTCATTAACTTAAAATTACTTACTCCAATCAGCAATCAAGCAAATATATTTCTTAATATATTATATCAAATATATTACTACCATATGGAAATTAAATCATGTTTTTCAACTTTTTATATCATATATATAATTTAAAAAAAATAAATATAAAACATATTATGTCATTAAATATCTTTTCAAGCTTAATTAATAATTAAATATGAATTAAATATCATTCATCTCAAACAAAAAATAGTAATTTCTATTTCTTTGATCAATAATATTTGAAACTTTGAAGCTTAAGTTCGAAAAATTTTAGAAATCAAAATTTATTAAAATTTGAAATTTCAGAAGAATTCATTTAAATTTTAGTTCTCGACGAAATCGAGAATACTTTCCGAAACTCGAATTCGAAACTTTGAAATCTTAATTTCCGAAAAAAGAGTTTTTTCAAATAATTAACAAAATAATATTCCTTAGAAAATAAAAAAAAGAAAAAATAACCATTTTAAATTTTCGTAAATAATAAAATTTCACAAAATCCTCAAATTAATCTAATCTCCGTATCGTAAATCGACATCAAATTTATTTTAAAAAGAAAATTTTAAAGAGATAAAGAAATAACAATCAAATCAGATTAAAAATTCGCATAAGATCATTCATCAAACACGAAATAAAATTATTTACGAGTTCGAACGAAGTTCGCCGATAAAACCCGAACGAAACAAACAAGATATAAGTCATCTCGTTTCAATCACCCTCTTTAATCTTTCTCAAGACACGATGGAGGTAACTATTTCGCCCGTGTCGAACGTACAACTTTCTCTTTTAGAGGCAATCGTAAAAAAGGGTTGAAGACAGGCCATGTCGACCTATTTGTCTGTAAATCGGTAAAAGGGTTGGTGAAAGTAGACTCTGGCAATAAAAATGTTAAAAATTCGAAAGTCAAGAAAGGGTTGGCCGTGGATAATGGGCAGGGATGGAATTTCACTTTCTTCTCTAGAAGCACGAACCGAAAACGGTCAGTTCACATCGCGGTCAAGTGCGTACTATTTCGTGATTTTAAAATCTAGAAGTGACTTTTTTCTATTTTTTTTTTTTCGCAGTTGTTAATCGGTTTATGGCATCTTGTAAAAGGACCGAAATGGAACATCTTGGCGAGAGTAAGTATCTATACCTGGATATTTGGTTACCTGTTGTTAGTATACTTAACGACCCTCGTTTATTAATAATCATTTTTAAATTGCCGATTAATTCTAATAAGATAATCTCATATTTGAAGGATTAAAAAAAAAACTTTTATAAATGCACGGTTAAATTAGACATTTTTAAAGGTCACCACCATGATAATTTTTTTTAAGGGTGATGCTTTGTTTAGAGAGACGTTGAACATAGATGCAAACAACCGTAGAATAATTTTACGGTTATATTCTCTTGATTACATGGTGTGTCCTGAATTTTTCATTTTTCCCTGACCACTCGCGAAATTTTCAAGGAAATTACATGGACGCTTGAAATTTAGAAAATTTATTTTTTAAATTTAACTCTATGCAGAAACTTAGATCAAATCGAGTTATTTTAATTGTTATAACTAAATTTTATTGATATAAGGCATTCGAATTCTTGTTGTAAATTACTTTGTGTACGTTCTAATTATTCTTCCAAAAATATAAATATATTATTTTTGATAGGTTTCTCTCGTATTTCTAAATTAAATCAATATGTAAACAAAGAAATTTTTTCCTAAATAAATTAGGAGACGAGGCACGGTTACGTTCGCCATAGATGATCGTGTATGCAGACCTTGCGTCACGGACAAGGCGCATCTGGATCATTGAACTCACTCGAACCGTCTGTCCAGGGACAAAACAGCATCGAATTATGCATTCTCGAAACCCTCGTCGACGCTATTTCTCTTTTTTTTTTTTCTTCCGCTTCCTTTCTTCTCTATTTTTATCTCTACTTGAACGAGTGTACAAAATTATACGGAGAGACGAGAGACAGAAAAATTTCAGGATGGAAATTTGAAAAATCAACTATTTAAAATTTTTATGAAACTTTTTGAAAAATTTTTCACTCGAATTTCCTGGATGGAATTAAATGAAAAATTTACTCACTTTAATATTCCTCGAAATTCCAAGAATTTAAATTTTAGAAGAATTTTAAAAGAAATCTTTTCAAATGCAATTTTATCGTGAATATTCGATAAACAACTTATAGCTCTTTTTTTTTTTTTTTTCCATTTTTATTCAAACGTTCAAAGTCAGGCAAAGAATTATCGGAGGAATGTTGGAAATTCCTATGAAAAATTTAAAAAATTTTACCACTCGCGTGTTTTACGAGCCACCGATAAGAGACGAAGAAAAACATCGATAAGAAAGGAAACCTAAGAATAGAGAGTTGGAAAGAAAGTAAATCTACTAAAACTGCAGGATATGGATATTATTGGACAAAAAAATTTTGAATCACTCTTCCACTTTCAATTAATACATCTTCTACTGATTTCAATCGATTTAAATAAAAATTAATATAACGATTAATAAAAATTATTATATTTCGAGGTTACCTAAAATCCTAACCTAACTTTCTTTCAAACACTTATCCTCTTTTTAAAAAAAACTTGAAGAAAAATTGCATCCCTCCATATGTATACATCCAATAAAAAAAAAAGAAAAAAAAAGAGGAAAAAACCTTAGATCCTCGGAAAAGCTCTGAAATTCAAAAGGGAGCTGGAAAAGCGTCTCGAGTTCAACGAGCCCAACCATCTTTCTCTCCATTCTACGTATATACATATGTACGTGCAAAGAACAGAGACAGAGGGAATTCTGAACAGAAGTCCAACAAGGATAGCGAGAGAATAGAGACAGAAGATAGGCGAGAAAGAAAGTGAGAGACAAAGACGGACAGCGAGAAACGGTGGAAACTCGCGAGAGATTTCTGTCTTGCCGACCAATCAGGTGGACGCCTCTTTCGATGGCCCAACCCTCGACCCAATATGGCCGCCACGCGCGAAACAGAGCTCTAACCGCGAAGGTTAGGTTAGGCCGAGCCTGGACCAGGCTGAGTGGTGGGGATAGCTGGACCGGCGAGTAGAAGAGGAGTGGGGTGGGCGTTGTTGTCGGCCATGATGGGATGCTGCGGGATACAGAGGAGAGGAGTTTTCCACTTTCTCTTCTCTCTCTCTTTCTCTCTGTGCTTTTCTATCGAACCATGCGTTGTGTTGCGCGAATAATGGAAACGAACCTCTATGCCTCTCTCGCGTGTTTACATGCGAAACGTGCATCCTGGTTAATTATGTCGGCGGTGAAGATACCTTACGACGATGAAGTTTTGGAACACGTTCCAGGGATGATCGAGGATATAAGATCGTTGGCTGGTCGCCATACAGATCTTATCGATTGATCGAGAATTTTTATGCAAACGCGTATTTCTCGTGTTACGCGTGTTTTTTATGGAAATGTACGTGCGCCAGACGGAATTTCTGTAATAGAAGTCATCAATGCGCAGCGATATGATAATAATTTGGAAAGTAGCGCGATATTTAAAAATTAGAGAACATATTTCTTTTTCTTCGATTTACGAATTAATTTTTTCTAAACTAATGATAATATTTATTAATTTACGATAGAAAATGTTAATGAAAAAAAGTTTATTATTATAAAAAAATTTTAAATTTATAAGTAGAAACTGGATAGAAAATGAAAATGAATACAGATTAATACAGTGAGAATTTTATTTGTAAAATTTTTATATCAATTTATGCACAGATTATATTCTTCTTAATTAAATATTCGAACACATTTGCACATGCACTCGAACTCAACAATAATTTTCGCCACTCCTCTTACGTAATACGTACCAAAAATAAATAAATAAATTTTATACTTACAATATTACATTTTGACGAATATTTGAACACATTTTTAAAAATCCGCGCTTCGCTTATCAATCGTGTTCTCTCGCTGAAAGAGAGAGAGAGAGAGAGAGAGAGAGAGAGAGAGAGAGAGAGAGAGAGAGAGAGAAACTCGTATCTCAATCCGACGATTTCGTGGGCTGTCTCGTCACGAGAGATACGATTCGAAGTTAAAGCAGAAGGTCGGCCAAAGGTCAAACGAATGTTGTGCAATCGAAGGACATATAAATCTTCCACGTGTTATGCTTTCTTTGAGTGGAATCACCCGTGCTTGTTTCTTCATCTGGTATTTGGCCGTTTGGCCGAGAAAGATTCCTTTCTAAATGTTTGCAGAACAAGTTGAAGAAGAGGAAACTCGTTTGTAAAACGCGCATCGTGTGTTTGAAGACGTCGCCGCCCGTTCGACGACGGGATTAGAACGTGTTGATAAAAAGACAGGAATGGTGTATTTGTACTTTATTGCGCGTGTATGTGTGTCTTATATGTGTCATTTCACGGCGTTACTTTGGCGATATTAATGGCGACTGCTTGTCCTCCTCGACGCCTTTCGATCTCCCCTCCCTCCTTTTTTTATGCAGTTATTTTATGGTAACAGCAATTCTCAAGAGAGTGTAATTCGTTCCTCGAATCGTCCCGCGAATGAAAATTGAAGATGACTCGTTTATTAGAGATAAATTAAACTCGTCTCGTTAAATTATTTTGCAATATATATACGGTGACAATAAACTTTTCAATATAACTCATTCGAACGAAATCGTTAATTTTTGAGATCAATCTTGTCCAAAAATTCAAATATAATTCAAATAATGAATAGAATAGAATGATTAGAATAGAAAAGACGAGAGATGTTTCCAAAATTTTTTTCATTGATCGTCTAAAGAATATCATCGTCATAGAAGCAGCAACAACGAAAATAAACCTCGCTTAACAGTGTGTTTGTTTCTCAGAGCTACCGTGCACTATGCGTAAACGATACTCTAGCATGGATCCGACGCCTCGAGCGGCCGGATTTAATACTCTGCAAATATTTGGAACAAACACTCGTCTCGAGAAAGTTGCGTTTCTTCCAACTACTCTCTACGAATTTTCACCCTCACCTTCATCCCAGAACATAGAAATTTCTTTCGAAATTTTCTTCTTTTCCCTTCTACAATAATAAATTTTGCTTCAATTTGAGTTAAGATAGTTTGTAAATTAAATTTTTAAGAGTCTGTGTAATAAAATTTATTTTATTTTAGAAGAAAAATTCTACGAGTTTTCCATTTCATAATGCAATAAATAAAAGAAATCAAATAAAATCGCAACTCTGAGGATATTCAAAGAAAAAAAATTCCATTTTATTCATTAACATTTACAAACATAATTTAATCACTGTTTTCTTCGTCGTACATATCCATAGACCGATGGATAAACAAACAAAACTTCCAAAACGGATTCATGGAGGAAAAAGAGAGCCGAAAAGAGCCGGAAAAAAATTTCTTGACTAATTCAAAACCTATCTACTCTGTTCGATCCAAGAATCCGAGAAAAACACGAGAAAATGGCGAAATACCGGATGACCGGTATTTTAATTCTCGAGAAAAAAAAAAGCAAAGAAAACACCCTCCTCCCCCTCCTCACTTCCCTCCCTCGGCTGTCGGCTAACGCACGAACGCCCGTGAAACGCGTAATATACAACTTCCTTAAAAGGCAGTTCGTAATAGGTATTCTCCGGAAAGTACAACGTCATTATAAATTCACGTTTACGAATCGGTGGAATGGGTCGGGCCTCCCCCTTTGGGGGAGGGAGGGGGACCGGGGACGGATCGGGAACAAGCGCGGCACTTTACACTTCGCGACACTCCCCAAGCCGTTAATTCGTTACTTTACTTTACCCTTTACGGCGGGTAGTCACGATCCCCTCCCCCCTCTCCCTGTAATTTATAATAACCGATATCGCGAACGGTTCGCCATTCGTATTTCGAGAACGAGGCAAACGCTCCCTCTTATCTATATACCTGGTGTTGTTGTTGCACCTATATAGACCTGGCTCTCTTTCTCTTTTTCCCCATTCCCCTCACGGATTCTCTCTTTTTCTCTCGTCACGGCGGTAGACTTACTGCCACTGCTATTATTTACTTTGGCTTTTTCCTTCTCTTGCGAAATTTTTCTTCCTTTCCTTCGCGTGCGAAGGTAAGTAAGGTAGATAGATAGAGAAATGTGTATGTGTGTGTAGATGTGTTTATATACGATGCAGAATTGTCTCTTCTTTTTTCTTTTTTACTAATCTTTGAAGAAAAAGAAAATTGAAAGTGGATCGTGATGAGGACTTTTATGTTGGAAATATTATATATATATATATATATATATAATATGTATGTATAAGTAATTTTAAAAGTTTTCTCAGTTTAGAAATTTATGATTTATATATTTATATTTATGTTGATGATCGAGATGATTGTAGTAGAATAGAAATACGAGAGAATACGTTTTCATTACCTGAGAGAAAATTTTAATTTGATTTTTATATATTCTTAACAACAGTGCGTAAAAATAGTCCGTTAATTACGAATGAAATTATTATTATTCGTGGTACTCACCTCCTCGTGGACGAAGTCCGGCGGCCCAGCCGTGCGCCAGTAATCTGAAACGAGAGAACAATCATTTTTATCCTCGATCGCCTTTCCATATCTCCATTATTTTCGTTCGAAGCTCGATTTAATCTCAATAAACGACAAATTTCTTTTTTTTTGTAAAAAAGATTTCGAAAACTTCTACTATTGTTGTTTTCTACACAAGTCGAAAAAGTTTGGAGAAATTTCGAGAGGTTAATTAACGCTTTCTCTTTTCCCTCTCGGACCATTTCACATTGGTTTCCACGATTTTTACGTCTTCCCAACAAAAGAGTTGAATCGACGAGATATTCCCATTATCCGGCGGAAAGAAGTGAGCTCACAGCAAGAGGAAAGTGAAAGTAAAGCGAGAGATGGGGTTAAAAAAAGGGTTGGGAGGAGAAAGCGGGGCTGCTTATTTACCGGGGGAGAACAGTAAAGAAGAAAAAAGAAAGAAAGAGTTTTCCTTTTTTTCCAAGGAACCCTTTCCATTCCATCCTTGCC